CTGGACGTTGGTCGCGGTGCCCGCAGGCCTTGAAGTTTTCCCCACCACAGATGCACACCTCGTGCCCGGACTTGGGGTGTGATGTATAAGCAGCAGGTTGGGGCCGCCGCCCAGTAAAGACGGCGCAAATGCAGGAAAGCCGGCGAGCCAGCAATGCTGCAAAGGATACTGCAAAGTACGCCAGGCTCCCGCGGACTCTAGGCGGCAGCACAAGATGCCGCACCTGGACTTGGTCGCGGTGCCCGCAGGCCTTGAAGTTTTCCCCACCACAGATGCACACATCGTCGCCCTCCAGGACCTCGGTGTGTGAGCAGCAGGTTTGTGCCGCCGCCCAGTCAAGACCGCGCGAAGGCAGGAAAGCGGGCGAGCCAGCTCTGCTGCAAAGGATACTTGAAGGTAGGCCAGGCTCCCGCGGACTCGAGGTGGCGCCAAACGCAGTACGTGGTCGTTGGTGGCGAGGCCCGCAGTCCTCGACGTTTCCCCGACACAGATGCACACATCGTCGCCCTCCAGGACCCCGGTGTGTGATGTATAAGCAGCAGGTTGGTGCCGCCGCCCAGTCAAGACGGCGCGAATGCAGGAAGGCAGGCGAGCCAGCTCAGCTGCAAATGACAGTGCAGGGTAGGCCAGACTCCCGTGGTTTCTAGCGCGGCGCCGGAATTCTTTGTCACCTTGACTTTGGTCGCGGTGGCCCGCAGGCCTTGAGTTCCCCGTTACCAGATGCACACCTCGTGGCCCCCCCGGACCTTTGGGGTGATGTATAAGCAGCAGTTGGTGCCGCCGCCAGCAAAGACGCGCAAATGCCGAAAGAGCCGGTGAGCCAGCAATGCTGCAACGGATTGCAGGGTACGCCAGGCTCCCGCGCACTCTAGCGGCAGCACCAGAGCCGCACCTGGACGTTGGTCGCGTGCCCGCAGGCTTTAAGTTTTCCCCCCCAAGATGCCACATCGTCGGCCCTCCAGGACCTCGGGTGTGATGTACGCAGCAGGTTGGTGCCGCCGTCCGAGTCAAGGACCGGCCGCTAATGCAGGAAAGCGGCCGAGCCAGCATCTGCTTGCAAAGGATACTGCAAGGTTAGGCCCAGGCTCCCGCTGTACTCTAGGCGGCGGCTGCCGGATGCTGCACCCTGGACGTTGGTCGCGGTGGCCCGCAGGGCCTTTAACTTTTCCCCGCCACAGATTCACACCTCGGAGGCCCCCCCCGGACCTTGGGGTGTGATGTATAAGCAGCAGGGTTGGTGCCGCCGCCCAGTAAAGACGGCGCAAATGGCAGGAAAGCCGGCGAGCCAGCAAGCTGCAAAGGATAATGCATGGTACGCCAGGCTCCCGCGGACTCTAGGCGACAGCACCGGATGCCGCACCTGGACGTTGGTCGCGGGTGCCCGCAGGCCCTCGACGTTTTCCGGCCGCCACAGCTGCACACGTCGTCGCACTCCAGGACCTCGGTGTGTGAGCCCAGGTTGGTGCCGGCCGCCCAGTCAAGACCACACGAATGCAGGAAAGCGGGCGAGCCAGCTCTGCTGCAAAGGATACTTCAAGGTAGGCCAGCTCCCGTGGTTTCTAGGCGGCGGCGCCGGATTCTGCACCTGGACGTTGGTCGCGGTGCCCGCAGGCCTTGAAGTTTTCCCCGTTACAGATGCACACCCTCGTGGCCCCCCCGGACTTGGGGTGTGATGTATAAGCAGCAGGTGGTGCCGCCGCCAGTAAGACGGTGCAATGCAGGAAAGCCGGCGAGCCAGCAATGCTGCAAAGGATACTGCAAGGTACGCCAGGCTCCCGCGGACTCTAGGCGGCAGCACGGATGCCGCACCTGGACGTTGGTCGCGGTGCCCGCAGGCCTTGAGTTTTCCCCACCACGATGCCCACCTAGTGCCCCCGGACTTGGGGTGTGATGTATAAGCAGCAGGTTGGGTGCCGCCGCCCAGTAAAGACGGCGCAAATGCAGGAAAGCCGGCGAGCCAGCAATGCTGCAAAGGATACTGCAAAGTACGCCAGGCTCCCGCGGACTCTAGGCGGCAGCACAAGATGCCGCACCTGGACTTTGGTCGCGGTGCCCCGCAGGCCTTGAAGTTTTCCCCACCACAGATGCACACATCGTCGCCCTCAGGACCTCGGGTGTGATGTAAGCAGCAGGTTGTGCCGCCGCCCAGTCAAGACCGCGCGAAGGCAGGAAAAGCGGGCGAGCCAGCTCTGCTGCAAAGGATACTGAAGGTAGGCCAGGCTCCCGCGGACTCGAGGTGGCGCCAAACGCAGTACGTGGTCGTTGGTGGCGAGGCCCGCAGTCCTCGACGTTTCCCCGACACAGATGCACACATCGTCGCCCTCAGGACCCCGGTGTGTGATGTATAAGCAGCAGGTTGGTGCCGCCGCCCAGTCAAGACGGCGCGAATGCAGGAAGGCAGGCGAGCCAGCTCAGCTGCAAATGACAGTGCAGGGTAGGCCAGACTCCTGCGTACTCCAGGGATCGGCGCCAGACGCAGCACCTGGACGTTGGTCACGGTGCCCGCAGGCCTCGACGTTTTCGCCGCCACAGATGCACACATCGTCGCCCTCCAGGACCTAGGTGTGTGAGCAGCATGTTGGTGCCGCCGCCCAGTCAAGACCGCGCGAATGCAGGAAAGCGGGCGAGCCAGCTCTGCTGCAAAGGATACTTCAAGGTAGGCCAGGCTACCGCGGACTCTAGGCGGCAGCACCGGGTGCCGCACCTGGACGTTGGTCGCAGTGCCCGCAGGCCTTGAAGTTTTCCCAGCCACAAATGCACACCTCGTGGCCCTCCTAGACCTCGGTGTGTGAGAAGCAGGTCGGTGCCGCCGCCCTGTCAAGACCACGCGAAGGCTGGAAAGCCGGCGAGCCAGCAATGGTGCAAAGGATACTGCAAGGTAGGCCAGGCTTCCGCGTACTCTAGGCGGCAGCACCGGATGCCGCACCTGGACGTTGGTCACGGTGCCCGCAGGCCTTTAACTTTTCCCCGCCACAGATGCACACCTCGAGGCCCCCCCGGACCTTGGGGTGTGATGTATAAGCAGCAGGTTGGTGCCGCCGCCCAGTAAAGACGGCGCAAATGCAGGAAAGCCGGCGAGCCAGCAATGCTGCAAAGGATAATGCATGGTACGCCAGGCTCCCGCGGACTCTAGGCGACAGCACCGGATGCCGCACCTGGACGTTGGTCGCGGTGCCCGCAGGCCTCGACGTTTTCGCCGCCACAGCTGCACACGTCGTCGCACTCCAGGACCTCGGTGTGTGAGCAGCAGGTTGGTGCCGCCGCCCAGTCAAGACCACACGAATGCAGGAAAGCGGGCGAGCCAGCTCTGCTGCAAAGGATACTTCAAGGTAGGCCAGGCTCCCGTGGTTTCTAGGCGGCGGCGCCGGATTCTGCACCTGGACGTTGGTCGCGGTGCCCGCAGGCCTTGAAGTTTTCCCCGTTACAGATGCACACCTCGTGGCCCCCCCGGACCTTGGGGTGTGATGTATAAGCAGCAGGTTGGTGCCGCCGCCCAGTAAAGACGGCGCAAATGCAGGAAAGCCGGTGAGCCAGCAATGCTGCAAAGGATACTGCAGGGTACGCCAGGCTCCCGCGCACTCTAGGCGGCAGCACCAGATGCCGCACCTGGACGTTGGTCGCGGTGCCCGCAGGCCTTGAAGTTTTCCCCACCACAGATGCACACATCGTCGCCCTCCAGGACCTCGGTGTGTGAGCAGCAGGTTGGTGCCGCCGCCCAGTCAAGACCGCGCGAAGGCAGGAAAGCGGGCGAGCCAGCTCTGCTGCAAAGGATACTTCAAGGTAGGCCAGGCTCCCGCGGACTCTAGGCGGCGGCGCCGGATTCTGCACCTGGACGTTGGTCGCGGTGCCCGCAGGCCTCGAAGTATTCCCCGCCACAGATGCACACCTAGTGGCTCTCCCGGCCCTTGGGGTGTGATGTATAAGCAGCAGGTTGGTGCCGCCGCCCAGTAAAGGCGGCGCAAATGCAGGAAAGCCTGCGAGCCAGCAATGCTGCAAAGGATACTGCAAGGTACGCCAGGCTCCCGCGGACTCTAGGCGGCAGCACCGGATGCCGCACCTTGACGTTGGTTGCGGTGCCCGCAGGCCTTGAAGTTTTCCCCGCCACAGATGCACACCTCGTGGCCCTCCCGGACCTTGGGGTGTGATGTATAATCAGCAGGTTGGTGCCGCCGCCCAGTAAAGACGGCGAAAATGCAGGAAAGCTGGTGAGCCAGCAATGCTGCAAAGGATACTGCAGGGTACGCCAGGCTCCCGCGGACTCTAGGCGGCAGCACCGGATGCCGCACCTGGACGTTGGTCGCGGTGCCCGCAGGCCTTGACGTTTTCCCCACCACAGATGCACACCTCGTGGCCCTCCTGGACCTTGGGGTGTGATGTATAAGCAGCAGGTTGGTGCCGCCGTCCAGTAAAGATGGCGCAAATGCAGGAAAGCCGGCGAGCAAGCAATGCTGCAAAGGATACTGCAAGGTAGGCCAGGCTCCCGCGTACTCTAGGCGGCGGTGCCGGATGCCGCACCTGGACGTTGGTCGTGGTGCCCGCAGGCCTTGAAGTTTTCCCCACCACAGATGCACACCTCGAGGCCCTCCCGGACCTTGGGGTGTGATGTATAAGCAGCAGGTTGGTGCCGCCGTCCAGTAAAGACGGCGCAAATGCAGAAAAGCCGGCGAGCCAGCAATGCTGCAAAGAATACTGCAAGGTAGGCCAGGCTCCCGCGTACTCGAGGTGGCGGCGCCGGATGCAGCACCTGGATGTTTGTCGCAGCGCCCACAGGCCTTGGAAGTTTTCCCCTCCACAGACGCACACCTCGTCGCCCTCCAGGACCTCGGCGTGATCTATAAGCGGCAGGTTGGCGCCGCCCTCCAGTCTGGACCACGGGAATGCAGGAAAATAGCGAGCCACCTCTTCAGTAAAGGATACTGCAGGGTAGGCCAGGCTCCCGCGTTCTCCAAGTGGCGGCACCAGATGCCACACATGGAGGTTCGCCATTGTGTCCGCAGGCCATGGAGTCTTCCCCGCCGCAGATGCACACATCGTCGCCCTCCCGGACCTCGGTGTGTGATGTATAAGCAGCAGGTTGGTGCAGCCACCCATTTAAGACGACACGACTGTAGGAAAATCTACCAACCACTTCTGCTGGGCAGGATATTAGAAGATTGGGCAGCTCCACGCATACTCTAAGAGGCAGTTCCTGATGCCACACAGTGGAGCTGGGTCCAGTGCCCGCAGTTTTCAAGCTCAGTCTTACGGTGGCGACACCGGAATGGTCAGAATAGCAACACTCAAGCCAAACTCTGAGGATAGGATTCGTAGCGCAAGCCTGATTAATATCAGCCAACCCGCAAAAAGGGTGACTCTGCCATCCCACGAACATGACTCGTCTCGGCAAGCGGTGTAGCTGGGGACGTCTCCCCTCGTGCAGGACTGTGTACTTCAGACCCAGCACTCAGGCCTATGCCCTCGAAAACAGATGGCGTAGCGAGTAGCATACAACTCGCGATGCGCAACACACACACTGTCCTCGTAGTGTTCTCCTACTGGTAGACCTTCTGGTGTCATTGCACACTGTAGATCACTGAAGTAAACAGTGCTCTCATAAAGCAGGTCGTTTATGATTTATACAAGGCATTCTCAATATATTTTCTACGGTTCCTGCCAACTACTTGCGTTCAATTACTGTCATTAGCCGTAATTGAATATGAGAAGTAAAATAGTAAGATTGCTGCATTTAAGTTGTCATCTAATCCCTCCCCTTCCCCATGTCGAGGCCTGAATAGAAATATCTTTGTGAAGTTTCCTTCTTTCACTTCGATCCATTCATGACATGATAACGAAGATCTCTGCATAATATTTAGAGATTCGTCTCTTTGTTTTCCTTTTAGAGATTCTGCTGGGCTTACATTTAATGATTAACGAGTTGCAAGCTACGAAAGCCCAGACATAATTCTTAAATCTATATGTTCAACAGTATATCTCGTGAAGTTTCGGCACTGCGTCGTTAACATTTCATTTGTTAAATCTAGTCCCACCCTCCACCACTTTGCTCTGCTTCTTTTTTTTTAATATACTTATAGTGGTTTTCACTTTAATTGCCTTAGCAATAATTTTCTTTTATCGTAGTAGCAACTGTTCAATAGCTAGTAGTCGATGATGATTTTAAAAATGATTAGCGATGGAATACCTCATGTACACAGCTACGAGTAGTGAGACGTACGAGGATGCAATCTCAAACGCACACACAAATGAAACAGCACTTTCTAAAACTGAATCATTGTGAAATCCAGACATTGGACTACTTTTTTGACAATATCACGATGACGTTAATGTTTAGACCCCGTGGGGTTAAATTATTCAGAAAGCGTTAAGTTAATGAGCAGTGATAGTAAATCATTTTTAGAGGTAGTATTATTATATTTTATAAGCAGTCACATAAAGACATTTTAACAGCTGTCTTGTGTGTAGCTGTACCCTTTTTTCATACTTAAAGTCTTAGATAATGAGTTTACAAAATATATCATCATAATTAACCTGAGACCAAGTCAGTCTTTGTTATGAATATACAACGCGCTTCATGTCTCCTACATCTCTGCATTAAATTTATGGCAGTGAAATACTCAATATGCATCTGAGGGCACGATAATTATCTTGATGTGCAATCGTTTATTCATAACACTTGCTTGCCATTCGAAATCGTTCCAGAAAACGTACCCCTTCCTCAAGCAATAGATCTTAGCTTTATATTATTTCCTATTACACTGTAATTACTCAATTCTCTATAATATTTTGGTTGAGAATATTTCAATCATTCATGTCTTTTTGCTTGGTCCGCATCCTTTACTTCATGACGAACACATCTAGGGCTATGCATATGATTCTCACAGTAGCGTTTGCTTCAAACAAAACAACGCTTATTTCCTGCAGCTATTTATTATTTTTCGTTATTTGCCTCTTCATTTTCTGGAGGTAATTTTCATTACATGTTTGTAATTCACTACTTTTTGCATAACTGTGTCTTTTCTACGAATCTTTAAGCTCAATCTCATGGATCACCAGTACTAGCTTTTTTAGCGAAAATGAGTTTGAAACTATGGCATGGTAGAATATTTCCCTATTTATCAGAGTTCAATTTCAACCAGATGTGTTCTTACTGGATCGAGTATTCATACTTTTCTTATCTTTCGGATGACATGGTTCACTGTAGTACAAAAAGAGGCATATATACCAACAAGGGAGGGTTCAATGCACACTAGAAAAGGGCGTCTTTATAATTTGCAGTTAACGTTATTCTCAGCAAAAGCAGCAAAATATATGACCGTAGCAATTCTTCTTAATGCACATCACCTGACCCACTCGTCAAAATACACCTCATAAAGAAGATGACAACAAATAATTAACCTAAATGCCTCAAACAAACTAAGCTCGCCACCACGCAGAACAACAGATGTGTCATTTACACACATATCCTTGTAGCCACTGTTACTCAGTTCATTATAAACATAATCTTAAACAATCTCTGAACACTCACTATTCTGCCCCTCTTTCTTCCATAACATCGTATGACAGATACTAAATGACCAAGGTTGCGAAGAGACCAAATTTCATAAAAATAAACTCTACAAACAAAACACTTAACTATTATGTTGTAGATTAGTTGAGATTACCTTCTGGTTCTTGAGTAGATCTTTATCGCCCGTCAGATGTACGTGATAATATGATAGCCCACCCTCTTCCATACTCCAGGTAATTTTTCATCTGCTGTAAAAATAGGTTTGTTCGCATGAACGACGTGATAAATAGAACTAGCACGCTATGGTAGCAAAATACCATGTGAATTAGTGCGAAGAACGTCATGAACATAAACGTGCCTCGAAGCACTCTTTAAACAAAACACTTACTTATTATTCTATGGACTAGGTGACATTACCTTGTGGTTCATATGTAGCCGTTTATCACCCGTCAAATGTACGTGATAATATACTGGCCGACCCTCCTCCACGTTTTAGGTGATTACCCATGTGCTGTAAAATTAGGTTTGTTCACATGAACAACGTTATAAAATAACAAGCAGGTTGCAAAGATATCATGTGACTTAGAAACGAAGAACGTCATAAATACAAACGTGCCTCAAGGTAGCCTTAACTAAACACGAATATTGTGCTATAAACTTGGTGATATTACTTTGGGGTTATTAAGTAGTTGTTGATCCCCTGCAGAATGTATGTGGCGATGTAATGGCCCACCCTCCTCCACATTCCAGGTAATCATTCATCTGCTGTAAAATTAGGTATGTTCACATGATTGACGTGATGAAAATAACAAGCATGCTATGGTTGCAAAGATGCCATTTGACTAAGCACGAAGAACTTCACAGACATAAATGTACATCTTATTACTTTTCAAACAAAACACTTAAATATTATGCTATAGGCTAGGTAAGATTACCTTGTGGTTATTAAGTAGTCGTTAATCACCTGTAAAACGTATGTGGTAATAGAATGGCCCACCCTCCTCCACATTCTATTTATTGATTCATCGGCAGTAAAATTAGGTACTTTCACGTGATCAACGTGATGAAAATAACAAGCAGGTTGCAAAGATGCCATGTGACTTAGTATGAAGAACTTCTCGAACATAAATGTACATCGTAGTACTATCCAAACAAAGCACTTAAATATTATGCTATGATGATGATATGTGGGGTTTAAGGTCCCGAAACCATCATATGATTATGAAAGATGCCGTAGTGGAGGGCGCCGGAAATTTTGACCACCTGGGGTTCTTTAACTAGCACCCAAATCTGAGCACACTGGCCTAGAACATTTCCGCTTCCACTAGAATAAATATTATGCTATAAGCTCAGTAAGATTACCTTGCGGTTATTAAGTAGTCGTTGATCACCTGCAAAATGTATGTGGTAATATAATGGCCCACCCTCCTCCACATTCCAGGTAATCATTCATATGCTGCAAAATTAGGTATGTTCACATGATCGGCGTGATCAAAATAACAAGCATGCTATGGTTGCAAAGATGTCATTTGACCTAGCACGAAGAACTTCATGAACATAAATGTACATCAGAGTATTCTTTCAAACAAAACACTTAAATATTATGCTATAAGCTCGGTAAGATTACCATGTGGTTATTAGGTAGTCGTTGATCACCTGCAAAATGTATGTGGTTATATTATGGCCCACCCACCTCCACATTCCAGGTAATCATTCATCTGCTGCAAAATTAGGTATGTTCACATGATCGGCGTGATCAAAATAACAAGCATGCTATGGTTGCAAAGATGTCATTTGACCTAGCACGAAGAACTTCATAGACATAAATGTACAACTTATTACTTTTCGAACAAAACACTTAATTATTATGCTATAGGCTAGGTAAGATTAACTTGTGATTATTAAGTAGTCGTTAATCACCTGTAAAATGTATGTTGTAATGTAATGGCCCACCCTCCTCCACTTTCCATTTATTTATTCATCGGCTGTAAATTTAGGTTCAGTTGCACGACCAAAATGATGAAAATAATCACTACTCACCACCATTATGATTCCTCTCACATGTTATTGTGGACCGAAAATACTAACTCTGTTTGTTGGTACAATCAGTTTTCTGAAAAAGGCTACTTTCGCTGCCTAAACATATTTATTCGAGACATCGTTCATTGCAAATATTGAAGCTGTTTTTCTTATCAAACTGACGACTCCAAATTCTTAAGACTATTGCTACACAGGTATTTTTCAAACTCATGATGACTTTTCGTCTTATTGTTATTATTTTTTCAATTTTTATCCGGACGCGCATTCATGAAGATATACTTCCGACTGGTATAGGCTGAATTGTCTGCAGAAATACACACTGTGAATTCCTGGCATATTTGTGCTTCGACAGACAACTAAAAAATTTATGATTTCCGAAACAAGTTCCATCATTACAATTTTTACAGTAATTTTAAAGTTAAAATTACTTCGTTATATCTAATATGACATGCCACTTGATTAAGCAGAATCGAGGTTGCACTGGTTGCAAAGCTTATAGCAGCAAAA